AAGACACGGCTCGTGGCTGTTTTTGGTCGGCTCCAGGTCTGCACAGGGCCACCATGCCCAAAAGGGTTTAGGGTTTAGGGTTTAGGGTTTAGGGTTTAGGGTTAGGGGTTTAGGGTTTAGGGTTTGTCAAGAAAAAGTTTAGGGTTTAGGGTCACCAAGTCCAGTTTCAAAAAAGGGTTCCGGGGCTCATGTTCTCAGATTTTCTCACAAAGCTAGGCCCAAACATTACTCGCAAGGGGGCTGTCTCGCCTAGAGGCAAAAAAAGTCAGCAGGCCAAGTCAGCAATCAGGTTCCTGCAGGGTCGTATAGCGTCCCTAACCCTAAGCCCTAAACCCTAAGTAGGGTCGTACCTAAACTCACAGGGTCGTAGCCCTTCACACTAAATTCATAGGCTCGTAGACTATGAACACGCTTCTGGCCGGCACTTGGTCGCTGATATCTTCTTCGGAGGTGGGGGATCGAGGGTTTAGGATTTTTTGGGTTGGTGTCGGGTGATGTTGTATAGACTCTTTGCCGTGCAGCTCATGCTCACGTGTGACACTTCGGGATCATCCCGAGGGAGTAGCTGATGAAAGTTCAGCGGGTGGCGCTGAAACAGTTGATTGGTATGTGCTGCCCTTCCTCCCGGTTTTTGTCGCATAGTACTGGCTGAACCCTGAGTCCACTGGCAAAAAGGGTTGGGGTTTAGGATCAGTGAGCCCTGAAAACTTAGAATGCGTTCGTCCCAAATTTAATTCCTTTAACCTGTTGAGGGTCTTATGTTCCCTTTGTATTCCCAAAGGTTAAGCTTTAGTTCCCCTACAGTAAGATACTGGACAAATATCAGCAACTTCTTGCATGCGCGTAAACAGAAAAAGCTCTTGCCCCAAGCTTGAAAAAAGTTCCAAGATTGTTTCTGCGAACGTAGTTGGAACGTTTACCCTAAACCCTAACCCCCAACCCCCTGTAGCCAGGCGGGTGGCGACGAAACCCTAAACTTTGCACCCTGTTCAGAGCTTGGGACCCTTAGGCCTCAACCCTATGGTGACCATGCTGCAACCTCTCAATATAATCAGTTTAGGGTTTATGCTTGGGGTTTAGGGTTTAGGGTTTAGGGTTTGTAGGGTTTCTAGTTATTGTGTGCAGAAAGCAAGACACAGCTCCCCAAGCCAGCATGTTCTTGAAGTTTGTCCTTGAGCGCTACAACCCTAAACCCTAAACGCTAAACCTGCCCTGGACCTCTCCACATCGCTGCTCTGGGGGGCCAAATGTACCCCAAATTGGGGGGTCAGCAAACCCTACTACAATCCCTATTAAGGTACCCTATAGTACTATAATCCTGTTTAAGGTACCCTATACTACTGTAATTTGTATTCAGGTACCCTATACTACTATAATCCTGTTTCAGGAAACCTATGCCATTGTAATCCCTATTAAGGTACCCTATACTACTGCAATCCCTACTAAGGTACCCTATACTACGATAAGTCTGTTTAAGGTGCCCTATACTACTTCTATCCCTATAAAAGTACCCTATACTACTATAATCCTGTTGAAGGTACCCTATACTACTTGTATCCCTATAAAGGTACCCTATACTACCCTTTACTACTATAATCCTTATGAAGGTATGTGAACCACAAGCCCGTTTAAGGTTTAGGGTTTAGGGTTTTAGGGGGTACTCACGCTTTCCGACAGGAAGTCATATCCCGCGCCCGCCGTGTGTCGCAGCGGATCCAAGGGTTCCTTGAGCACGAGCCCCGGTTCAGGGTTTAGGGTTTAGGGTTTCGGGTTTAGGAAAGGCCGCTTTGGAGTGGGCTCTCAGGCGTTCCCACGCGCTGAAGCCTGTTGCTGGAAGAAAGGTTTCGTGCTCTGACAAGAAGGCCTCTAGAGCTTGCAGTAGATTTCAGAACCATGCAACGTAGAACTGAAGACTGAGCCCGATACCCTTACTGGACCGATTTCCACCCACGTGCTGTCTCCAAGCCCTTCGAGTGCCAGAAGATCTATCTGAAGGCACTGCTGGGGGGGAGCAGCACAAAGGCGCCCTAGCCCTAAACGCACACAAAGAGAGAGAGAGAGAGAGACGGAGACGGAGACGGAGACGGAGACAGAGACAGAGACAGAGACAAAAGACAGACAGAGAGACAGACAGAGATACGGACCGGGAGACAGACAGAGAGACGGACTGAGAGACAGACAGACAGACAGGCAGGCAGGCAGGCAGAGACAGACGAACGGTCAGACAGACAGACAGACACCACATGAGGCCATGAGCCGTAGAAGTTCGGGTAACCCCTTCAAAACCTGCCAAATGCTCAGGCGCTCACAAGATGAGCTCAGCTTGGAGGAGTTGAAGTTCCTTGGGCCTTGACCTCGAAGGAGGAACGCAGAGGGGGGGGGCAGCTGTTCAGGATGCAAAGCTAGCACTAGGGTTTAGGGTTTAGGGTTTAGGGTTTAGGGTTTAGGGTTTAAGGCTTGAGGCATATGCGAGAAAGGGATGAAGAAGCTTGTTCTGCGATGGTCTCGGCTCCAACCAGCTTTACGAGTTCAGCTTTTCCCCAATGTCAACGGTAAAGCAAGACTCCAACCCTAAACGCTAAACGCTAAACCCTAAGCCCTAAAATCTAAACCCAACCTGTTGGGGAGGCCCTTGAGGGGCGCAACAAGCCGTGCCATGGACGTCGGCCACTGTCTGCTACCGAAAGTCGGCGGCGTTCCCTGCCGGGTTTAGGCTTTAGGGCTCTCCCAGGCGAGGGTTTAGGGTGTAGGGCGTAGGGTTTAGGGTTTAGGGTTTAGGGTTCAGGGTTTAGGGTTTAGGGTTTGGGCTTTGGGGTTTGGGTCTTGGCAGTTAAAGGGTTTCGGGTTTGGGAGGGCATGGTTGCGCACAACATCAAGGCTTTAGCATCTTGTAGATATACAGCCACAACCATCCTGCTCGACTTTTTCATGGCACAGAAACAGGCGCCGGTGGTTGGTGGTGGTGGTGCAGGTGGTGGTGGTGGTGGTGGTGGTGGTGGTGGTGGTGGTGGTGGTGGTGGTGGTGGTGGTGGTGGTGGTGGTGGTGGTGGTGGTGGTGGTGGTGGTCGTGGTGGTCGTGGTGGTCGTGGTGGTCGTGGTGGTCGTGGTTGTTGTTGCTGATTGCGGCCATGCGAAATAGTGAGATAGGACATTGCCGCTGCTGTGCATGCCTTGCTCTGGCCCTGATCGCAGCATGTGGTGTGCAAGCGTGCGGCAGGGCCGCCGCATCGAGCTGAACGTCACCCTGCTCTCAGGCACGGCCTTCGGCGCAGGGCAGAGCGCTGTGAACCCTAAGAAAGCTACTCTTGCATGTTCAAAGCCTTCAGCAACCAAAAGGCTACCCTTCAGCAACCAAAAGGCTCACCGTTGATGCCATCTCTTTCTAGTTTTCAACTTCGGGTCCGGATAATTCTAGGTCCCGATTCTACAATGAGGCCCCGTGGAGTCAGAATTTCGAAGGTTAGAAGTGCACAAAATAAAGTCATCAACACGTGCAGCCTCGGTGATAGGCCGAGAAGTCTCCGAACGATTATAAGCATAGCAACGACCCCCTCCCCCCTCCCTCGTCTCTAAGAAATATTCAACATACCCCTTGGGCATACCCCTAAACGAAATTAGGGGGGTGTGGTAAAATCCTCCCTTCGACTCCCTTAGATTCTCCTTTTACAGGTGAAGGGGGTATGGGTTGGGGGTATGGTGAATTATTCTTAGATCGTCCCTCAGCGCAGGCGAGACCCTCTGCAGCTTCTATGCCGAAGATTCCCTGAGCGCAGAGCACCTCAACCCAAAAGGTCCATGTACCCCTATAGTATATACTTGGGCCCTAAAGCTACTATATGGGAACCCCTTTAAGGCCCAAGTATATAGGGTTTAGGGTTTAGGGTTTAGGGTTTAGGGTTTAGGGTTTTTACTCTATTGGTACATGGACCCTTTGGGCAAGTTGCAACCCGAGGAGGCAGCAGCGCGGAGCCGGGAACTGTCGTGAGCCAGTTGAGCCTTTGGCAGTCCTTGTGGGACCAAACAAACCCCTAAAACGGTCTAGGGTTTAGGGTTTAGGGTTTAGGGTTTAGGGTCTAGGGTTCATATACCTTGATGGAGATTAGAGTACTATATATAGGGTATCTGACCCCAATTTTAGGGTTTTTTTGGTCCCCAAGGTTGTTGATACTCGTATGGGCTCTGCTATGCTTTTTTCAGACTCTTAAAGAATCCGACTTCAACTCGGGTCCAGAAGGCTACTATTCGCTTCGGACCCCCCCCCCAAAAAAAAACATTCTTCCTTAACTTAATTGTGAGATCTTGTGAGGATAATGTAGGATTATTATCTTCTGTTTGCTTGGGGGCTCCTAGAGTACGTAGTAGAAGAAGCATCCCGAGGATCTGGGGTGATGTCGTCTTGCAAGGGACGCGGACCTTGCGAGACTGGGGGATGTCTTGTGAACAGCTGGTGGCGATCTGCACATGTGTCCTCGATGGGGAGTTCGAGAGCCTTGGTACCTGACTGAGTACAGTTTATAGATTTTTGGGATACCCTAACCCCCTATAGAACTGAAAGTGCATACTGTTTTGAGGCTTACGAACTCAGCAACTGAGGAGCTACGAGCCCGGGAATGCTTGCGAATGGTGCTTCGGCTGCCACGAGAGCCGGCTACTCTTTCGACCTGATGGAACCGGTCTGTTCTGGCAGGCATACATTGAATCCTACGAGGACGACGTGGACTTCACGGCTCATACATTGAATCCTACGAGGACGACGTGGACTTCACGGCTGAGAACGTAGCAGATTCCACTACTTTCTCGGAAGCTTGCAGGAAGGCCCGAACGGGCTTGAGAGATGTCTCGAAGTCGTTTGGGGCGGCGATGTTCATGTCCTGGACAACAACGCAGGCTTCTTCTGGGCCAGGCAGGCAAGGCAGCCCCTGTGTTTCCACACAGCAGCCTTGATTCTCCACGCTTCGGACGCCACCCGATACCGGGTGCGAGTTGGGCAAGCAATTTTCATGGACACGCGTCGCATGATCCTGCGCGGACGTGACTTTCGGGATGCAATGGCCGATTTGCGCTTCCTTCGTGCCGCACTCCTGCCGGAGCCAGAGGAGCTTAGCACGGATCCGTGGCGTCCACCCACGCCGCCATGGCTCCACTTGTTGGATGACTTGAGCCTTTGCACACACCGGAACCAGGCAGGCCATAATGAAATCGAGTCGTCTCAGAAGTTGCTTTGCTGGATCCCCTAAGACGAAACCTTCATGGTCCCTTGCATTGCAGTGTGCAGGCTTCACGTGCATGAGGGAGGTTTGTTGTGCATCGCAGGTGCAGGTTGATCTCGCTCCGGAATGCGCGTTGTTCTACATTCGTTGCACATCAACTCCCTTTTGCAGTTGCCGCAGGTTGCCCTCGATCGCCGGCACCAAAGATCCCGGCTGCAGAAGCAGACGGAGGCCGCTGGGCGTGCGGTGAAGCTGCGCCGGGTGGCGCGCCGCCGGGCCACGGCAGAGTGGAGGCGAGCACGGCAGCAGGACAGAGATTTAGTGCGTCGCATCGCGTGAGGGCTTCCATGGGGCTAAGGGAATTAGGGAATCGTCGCAAGAGCGAATTCTGAGCTCCCCCAAGCAAGTGGACGAGGGACACCTTGTATAGTGCACAGGCATGACATTCCCGAGTCTGCCCGAGATGTACAGGTTAATGCCGTAGTACGTGCCGAAAGAAGCGGTCCCGGCATGGCGCATGAAACTAAACGCGCTCTCAGAGTGGCTGGCAGCATTTTTGAGGATTAGACTTCCCATGCTTTCGGAGATGCTGTTGGCATGCTGTTTGTTTTTGCGTTTCCTCGGTGCTACAAAGGCCAAGGGCGAAACAGACAAGAAACGTCTCCAACCCTAAGCCCTACTTAAACCCTAAACCCCTAAACCTCTAAACCCTAAACCCTAAACCCCCAAACCCTAAACCATTAGACAGCCTGAGCGATCCTAAGCCTAGAAACTGGGGCCGTCCTGACACGCTTAGCACGGTGCTTTGCATGTTGCAGATGCAAATCCGCACTGCCACAGTGCCTGGTCTGCAGCCATTGATGCCTTAATGCATCTGCATGTGTAGTCGAGCAGTGCATACAATGGCACGGGCCTTTATGCAACAATTTCGGCTTGGTAGGCCTCTGATTGTTTATCCCCACATTTTCCGTACGCTTTTGTCGAGCAACGGCATGATGATTAATTTCTGTGCCACAGTGCGTCAAGCAGATTCCCCCCCCCCCCCCCGCATCGTCTTTGTAGTGAGCCTTGAGAATTACCAACGGACAAGTCATAGATTGCCTGCCATCTCCCACCCCCCCTCCCCCCCACCCAGCCGCAATCCCTAAAAGAGATTCCCTACCATTCCCTCACCCAAGACATCAGCACATGAAAATTTGCGCCCACCCTTCTGAATCGTTTCGAACTACGGCGCGGCTCCATGGCGTGGCATCAGGTGGAGGGGGGGGAGGGGGGGTGGGGGGTTTAGGGATAGGGGCTGATTAGAGTCCAGGATCACTTTTATCCGACGAAACCATAGGCTTGAGGAGTGTGCCGCGAGTAGTTTTGGGGGCTTTCGGGTGTCTACCCTTTCCGGCAGTTTTCACCATGCGGCAATGTCCGGATGTCGAAACTGCAGCTTTGCGACATCCGAGCGGTAAGTCTAAGTCACTACAGATACATGGTTCCTAGTAGGGAATCTAAGGCAAAACGGTGTCCGTAAAGCTTTGTTCCCCTACAGAACCCAGAAAGGACTTGCACAGTATAAACCACAAAAAGAAGGACCTTGGACTCAGCTCCCCTAAACCCTAAACCCTAAACCCTCAACCCTCAAACCCTCAAACCCTCAAACCCTCAAACCCTCAAACCCTCAAACCCTCAAACCCTCAAACCCTCAAACCCTCAAACCTCAAACCCTCAAACCCTCAAACCCTCAAACCCTCAAACCTCAAACCCTCAAACCCTCAAACCCTCAAACCCTCAAACCTCAAACCCTCAAACCCTCAAACCCTCAAACCCTCAAACCTTCACCCCTAAACCCTAAACCCTAAACCCTAAACCCTAAACCCTAAACCCTAAACCCTAAACCCTAACCCTAAACCCTAAACCCTAAACCCTAAACCCTAAACCCTAAACCCTAAACCCTAAACCCTAAACCCTAAACCCTAAACCCTAAACCCTAAACCCTAAACCCTAAAACCCTAAACCCTAAACCCTAAACCCTAAACCTAAACCCTAAACCCTAAACCCTAAACCCTAAACCCTAAACCCTAAACCCTAAACCCTAAACCCTAAACCCTAAACCCTAAAACCCTAAACCCTAAACCCTAAACCCTACACCCAACCCAGGGTCGGCCCCCCAGTCTTAAGCCCTCGACCTCGAGGTGTAGAGGCCCCCAAGCGCCCAACTTCAACCAAAGTTCCCCGAAACCCTCAAACCCTCAAACCCTCAAACCCTCAAACCCTCAAACCCTCAAACCCTCAAACCTCAAACCTTCAAACCCTAGACCCCCTGGGAAACCGGGGTCCGCAAGCGGACGGTTCGCCAGGACCAGAGGCAGTTGAAGCCCCTCCCAGCAGGGGCCCCCGCCGTTGTTCTCAGCCCACTCCCCCCCCCCCACCCCCCCCCCACCCCCCCCACCCACCCCCCCCCCCCCCCACCCCCCCCCCCCACCCCCCCCACCCCCCCCCCCCCCCCCCCCCCCTCCTCCCCCCTCCCCCCCTCCCCCACCCCCACCCCCACCCCCACCAAGGCCATGATCGCCTGGCGAGACGCGGCACGGGACAGCTGGCTGGAGAGGACCGCAAAGAGGCAAGCAGCACCCTGTTCCCCCTTCCCTACTCCAAGTTACTGGGAGGTTTTAATTTTAACGCTACGCGACCCGCCTCGGCCCGGCCCAGCGCATCCGCGTGAGCATGGTGATTCCAAGCAATAAGGGTTGGGTTGAGGGTTGAGGGTTGAGGGTTGAGGGTTCCGGGTTTATGGTTTATGGTTTGGGGTTTGGGGTTGAGGGTTAGTTTAGGGCTCAAGGTTCACGCTTTGGGGTTGAGGGTTTTTTTGGGTTTAGGGTTCGGCTTGGAGTGATCGTAGGGAGGCCCCTTAAGGTCTCTTCGGCAGGGTGTGGGGGAGGGGGGAGGTGGGGTAGGGGGGGGTACCCATTTGAGGCCAAAAAAAGGGTCCGAAAAAGGGCTTTGGGTGTGGGGGGAGGATTTGGAGGGGGGTGCCTGTTCTGACAACCTATACACCTCCGGCCCGAGGCCTCGGCGGATTTGGATTTGGAGGCACGTATAAGCCCCCCGAAGTCCTCGAAGTAGGTTGTGAGTAGACTTGTAATAGTTGGGGGTATAGGTAATCATGAACCTCCAAGTAGCACACACAATGCACAAAGCTCTGTAATCCGAAATCCACATACGCCCGTATTAAATTATATGACATTGGGTTGTGCGAAACAAGTATCTGTCCCTAAGGGTTCATGTATCTCATTAGTGTATACTTGGGCCCCAAAGTCCCTAAATAGGGGGTAAGTTAAGGGCCAAGTAATGCCTTTTTCGGCGCATGGTCAGTTCTCGAAATTGTGGTCCCTTTTTGGGTACCCTAAATAAGAGGGGCCGCCTTGTCATAAGGACCCCAAAGAGGACCATATTAACCAGAAAACCCTAAATCCTAAACCCTAAACCCTAAACCCTCAGGGTGTGTTTTTTTTCACAATACAAACCGAAAAACCTTTTTGAGCCCACACAGGTTCGCCAAGACCCAGGGCCGCAAGGAGGAGGAATTTGAGGCGAAACAGGGTTTAGAGTTTAGGGTTTAGGGTTTAGGGTTTAGGGTTATCTCAAAAACGGGTATAGCTTTGCAAAAAAGGTTTTGGGTTTATAGGGGTTGTAAATAGAGTTTAGGGTCTATTGGGTTTATCAATAGGGTTTCCAAATGGGGTCTAGGGCTTGTAGGGTGTAGGCTTTAGGATTTGTTTAGGGTTCAGGGTTCTCAGGCAACAAACCCTAAACCCTAAACCGATTGTCCATGTGAAGCCCTATATAATTACCTTGCTTAGGGACAGAGCACCTAGTTGAAGCCTGCGTCTACGCCCTTCCGGGTAGATAGAGAACTTTGCTCCGGGACTATCTGTTTCCTTAGGGTTTTGGAGCCTAAACCCTAAACTTTAGTTAACAACTATAAGCCCCAACGCCTACAACACGGGCGCACCGGGCTTGTCAAGCGCGGCACCCCACGGAAACGAAGCACGAAGAAGTACGGGTTTCGTACTAGGGCACGATATTGCAGCTCCCTCATCTCAGACCTAAACCTAAACCCTCGACTAATCCCTGTTGAGTTGGTGGTTTAGGAATCGACTTCAGCATTCTAGGGAGCCGGGGCATCAGGGTTTGAGGTAGGATTCTAGGGCAGATGTTGGGGTTTCGGGTTTTAGGGTAAGATTCTGGGGTTTAGGGTTGGCACGTCAGCGAGATGGGTAGATGTTGGGTTTAGGGCTTCAGGATTGAAATGCTTGAATACACCTTCCCACGGCTAGGGACCTCGGTAGGCTCGTACAAGACCCTCCCAAGTAGAATATACAGCCGTCTTGACAAGGCAGGACCCTGGGGGTGTTGGACCATTTCCCTGATGGGTTTCACGCAGGTTTCAGATGGTTTAGAGGACATGTTTGCCATGCAAAGAGCAGCCATCTTGCAGTCCCCATTATATTGGCTTTGGACCTGTAAACTGCGGCTTTCTGGGGAATCAGTCTACGGACGAACTCTTGCAACACCTGTGAAAGCCCTGACGACAAACACTTGCAGGCAGTAAGGACTTACAAGGCTTTCCTTTGCCTGCCCGGCCCTACTGTCGCGAGATGTCCTGCCCTCCCCCCCCCCTCCCACCCTGCCCTAAACCCTAAACCCTAAACCCTAAACCCTAAACCCTAAACCCTAAACCCTAAACCCTAAACCCTATAAGGTTTATAAACCCTTAACCCTGAACCACCAGGGGGCTTGCGCGGAGCTGCTGCAGCTGACGCTGGCGCCCTGTCCGCTCAGGGGTTTCGGATGTCTTGCGTGCTTGCGAAGGGGTTTAGGATTTAGGGTTTAGGGTTTAGGGTTTAGGGCTTAGGGTTTAGGGTTTAGGGTTTAGGATTCATGGTTTAGGGTTTAGGGTTGAGGGTGAAGGGGGTCGTGGAACAGTAACACAACACATCAATCTACGGAGCCGCCTTTCATCTCCTTTGTCAGCCGGCTTATGTGCCATGGCTGCACGACATGTACCATGGCCAGCCGGTATGCGCAATATGTACATACACATAGACAAGTTGGTGGTTCGCCATGAAACAAAAAAAGCTCTGTACGCACATGTGGAGATTGCTTAAACATGTGTGTAAGCACATCTTTTTTTGTTATTTAAGCATGTTCACGTTACACCCTATGAACTTCGAAATCATAAAACAAAAACAAGGCGGCAAAATAAATCCCCGAAGCGGGATTTCCATCTACATGACAGAAGGTTATCAGGACAAGTTGGCGAGAACTGAGGCGAACCGCTGCAGGATATCCTTTCTCCCTAAGGCCTAAAGCCCAAGCCCTAAACCCTGAACCAGTGCTCAGGGATGCCACAATTCACGTGCTGTAGTAAAGCCAAGAGTATGTGAAACAAAAAATGGCAGCACAACAATGTATGAGATCGTAGGTGCAAGACGTCAACCCAGGGTTTAGGGTTTAGGGTTTAGGATCCACTAGGCCCCTCCCCATAGGAATTGTCAACGGGTACAAAGGCCCCTCTACAGCTGGCAAAAGCATGGCAAGACCTGTGCTTCCGCTTCCAAGAAACTAAACCCTGAACCCTGTCACCACGTGAACCCTAAACCCTGAACCCTTCTCTAAGCCCTAAACCCGAAACCCTGAACCCTTCTAAACTTCTAAACCCTAAACCCTCGTGCTAGTGCGAGACCCTAAACCCTAAACCCTAAACCCTTGGGATCCCGAATTGTGAGGCGGGTGCTCCAGCGGGGATTCCGTTGTCACAACCATGGCAGGCTCTCGCAGTTGAGCTCCGAACCCTACAGGGTTTAGGGTATAAGGGGTTTATGGTTTAGCGCTGAGGGAGAGTTTAGGGTTGAGGGTATAAGGGGTAGGTAGCCCACTGCTCCTCAGGATTCCGAATCCTGTAAACCCTCTAAACCCTCGTCCTCCAATGCCCTACAGCACTTCCCCCAAGGCTCCGAAGCTTCGCATCATCGCTTCGCAACGCGAGTATCCCTTGGCTACAGCCCTAAACACGGCTGAAGGGTTTATATCAGCCCCAAGGATCCATGTACCTATATCGTATATACTTGGACCTTAAAGGGGTTCCCATACAGCAGCTTTAGGGCCCAAGTATATACTATGTAGGTACATGGACCTATATCGTATATACTTGGGCCTTAAAGGAGTTCCCATACAGCAGCTTTAGGGCCCAAGTATATACTTTCTAAGTACATGGATCCTATTAGGGAACAAGTATCAGGTGCCAAGCACAATGGGAGTGGACGCGGAAGGGCACATTTGTTTTTTGACTAGTTCAAAGTTATTTTTTTAGTCACCTAAGCCCTAACCCACAGGAGTTCGCCGGCGAGATGCGCCCGCCGGACCACCCGGCCCAGCGCGTGCCCTCGAACCTCCAACGCTTCGCGGGCAACTACTTGCGCCTTTGCACTCTCCAGGTTGAGTGCGTTGATGTTTAGGGTTGAGGGTTTAGGGTTGAGGGTTTAGGGTTGGGGGTTTAGGGTTTAGGGTTTAGGGTTGTAGTTTACCAGGGCCTTGGAGGCTTTCGGATGTATACGTTAATGTGGAGGTTTGCGTTTATCGCGGGTTGGGATGCAAGTCAACTTTGAGGCTATTTCGTCTGCGTTGTCGCAGTTCCAAAGTGCGGGTGCATGCAAGACCGGCATCGTGACAAGTGAGGAATCTGCTGATGGTGACTGCTGCTTTCGCTTCAGCCTCCACACGGCCCTTCTTTGTGGGCTTCTGCCTGATTGCGAAGGCCACCTCCATGAAAGGTTGGGGTTTAAGGTTGGGGGTTAGCTGGAATCTTTCCCATTGGAACTTGTCAAGGCATTGCATTAGGCTGCACACAGGGTGCAGACGCCTCCCCAGCGTCACTTTGATACAGGACAACTCTTATCTCCTGAGAGTCCCGAGCATTTGCAGTTCTAAAATGTGCCAACCAGATAATACAGGGTTTAGGGTTTAGGGTTTAGGGTTTGTCTGCGCGCAGCCTCAAAGTCTGTTGCTCAGAAGGGTTTAGGGTTCAGGGTTTTAAGGGTCTGAGCATTTGATACGCTGCAAGCTCCTTGGCACCAACAGCCAAGTTGTCCACGGTTGCTCTGCACAAGTGCTGTCCATGCTGAGCCAATACCGCGCCGTCCCTAAACCCTAAACCCTAAACCCTAAACCCTAAACCCTAAACCCTAAACCCTAAACCGCCTCTTAGGGCTGCCTTGCGGCTCCCTTCCTGGAGTTTGGTGTTGCCCCTGTCTCCTCTCTAAGTGGAAGAACAGGAGTGAGTCATACTCCCTGCTTCGCCCTAAACCCTAAACCCTAAACCCTAAACCCTAAACCCTAAACCCTAAACCCTAAACCCTAAAACCCTAAACCCTAAACCCTTAACCCTTAAACCTTAAACCTTAAACCTTGAACCTTAAACCCTTAAACCCTTAAACCCTTAAGCCCTAAACCCTAAACCCCTTGTGGAGACCCCGACTCACGCCCAGGGGGTCCCTAAATTCTCAGGCAATTGCACTATTGGCCCCTCCCGAGATGTTCGACGTGGACATGCTCCAAGGCGACTTTCCAGCGTTGTCTTTTTTTTTTTTTTTTTTTTTGGGGGGGGGGGGGGGTAGGCAAAAGGGTTTAGGATTCAGGGTTTAGGGTTTGGGGTTAGAAGTTTTGAGGGTGCATGGCTTTTGTGTGAGGACTTCGGCAAAAAAAGTTGGTGGGGATTACGGCGCCTAAAAGCTACACTAGGCTTGGCAGGAATGTGCGGGCCCACTCTGGGGTTGGGCACGCCAGGGATTCCCTGGGGATCGGGGGACTTCTTTGGGAATGCTCTGGGGTTGGGCCCTGCAGGGATTCTCTAGGGATGTATGCATTCGAATATATTTGTATACATCTAAATGGATCCACAACAAAAAATGTATTTATTTACATTTTGGGGAGGTGTAACACTTTTGCTACGTAGATTGAGAGGAGTCTTTGAGTCAAATCTTTTCTGGGGATCCTCTCGGGCTGGGCACTCCAGGGGACTCTGGGGTTGGGCACTCCAGGAATTCTTTGGGGAGGCACTCCGGGCATTCTCTTTTGATACGTTGGGGTTGGGCGATCCAGAAACCCTAAAACCCTAAGCCCTAAACCCTGAACCCTAAACCCTAAGCCCTAAAACCCTAAAACCCTAAACCCTAAACCCTCAACCCCAAACCCTAAACCCTAAAACCCTAAAACCCTAACACCCTCAACCCTAAACAGGGGACTCTAGGCTTGGGCACAGCTGGGTACTCCAGGGCTTCTCCGGCGGGGGATGGGCGAGGAGTAGCCCTGGCGAGGAGAAGAGATTTAGTTTAACTTGGGATGTTCCCCTACGGTTCTTTCGAGTTTGGGGTTTTGGGTTTGAGCCCCCTTAGGAATTATGTTGCAGTACTAAAAAGCCCAAGGGAATAAACACAATCCATTTTATAGAAGGTTCTAAGGGGAGTATAGAGAAGCGCGAAACCTCAACCCGAAACCGAAGCCTGAAGGAAAGTCCGCTGGTGGTGGCTACCGGTCTGTGGGCGGCCCATGGCTGCGATGTGCTCTGGCGACCGCAGGCCACGCAGGCGTTCCCTGGGCCGCATTTTGGGGTTTGAGATTTCCCCTTTTCATTCCTATGTTTTATACTCTATTTTTTCTTTTCTGGGGGGGGGGGGGGGGGGGCGCTCTTAATGGTTAATTTGTTGGCTAGTGCTGTTCAGTTTGTATACTAGAATATAAGACACATCCATAGGTTTACAAAACCAAGGAACTACAACTAAGGACCCAGGTAATCTTATAGTCTCCGAGGAATTTCTTTGTGCCTAGCGTGCATCGAGGACTTTCGAGGCATTCGGGTTGTTGCTTGATGGGTTTAGGGCTGGGAAGGCTTTAGCGACGGCCTTCTTTCGGGCTTGAGGTATTAGGGCTTAGGGTTTAGAGGGTGTAGGGGTTGTAAGGGTGCTGGCTCCTTTATGATCCCGGACTTGTAATACCAAACAAAAACACCCTGTAGTCTACAATCCCTGGTAACACAACCTACACATCTACAGGCCCCAAAACTCTTGTACCCCGTGAAACCCTTTTGACCCCAAACGCCCTTCAATCCCTGTAAGCCCTAACCGTAAACCCTATAAACCCAAGACCATCAAACCCTGCCTGCGGTTCGGCCAGCTGTGCGGAAGCCAAAAAAAAACCCTAAAGCCGAAACCCCAAAACACCCCAGACCCCCCCCCCCCCCCTCCCCCCCCCCCCCCTCCCCCTGCCCCTGTTGGATACATTTTGAATCCTAGGTTTGGGCCACTGGCCTCCTTGCCTCATCCGGCCGACGTGGGCTGGCGGTTGGGGTGGCCCTGGTGCCTGGGTCAGCTCAGTTTCGGGGTCTGCGGTTTCGGGTTTTGGGTTTAGCCGCCCCGAGTAGAGGCTCCCGAACAGTACTGTAGGATCCCCTTGTGAAAAGGACGCCAAGAAGGTACCCCCTAAAACCGTAAACCCCCCCCCGTTTGCCCTAATAATATGGTTGCTTCCAAAAACTGAGTAGCTGAGAGAGCACACTTTACACTTTCGGGGATATTATAATCCCTCATAGAACTGAAAGTGTACACTTTTTTGGGCTTATGAACTGAGCAACTAAGAAAATAGGTTTACCCTTTTCAATAACACAAAAAGAAAATCTAGACTCCCGACCCCCAAAAAGGGTAACCCTATTTTCAGAAACCCCCTTGTAGACTCCCAAACGGTAGGATCCCCTTGTAACGACGACCCCCAAGAAGGTACCCCTAAACCCTAAAACCTAAACCCTAAACCCTAAACCCTAAACCCTAAACCCTAAACCCCCATTCAAGGTTGAAAGGAGCTGGGTGGGACCAAGGGGTCGGTTGAACTTTAGGATATCAGGGCTTCCGCGGCTGAACTTAAGGTTGTAAGGGTTTAGGGTATATAGGGTTTTAGGGTTTAGGGTTTAGGGTATAGAGGGTTTTAGGGTTTAGGGTTTAGGGTTTAACCCTAAACCCTGAACCCTCTCGGCGAACTAAGGTGCTGTCGCATGCCCTCTTCCGCACGCGGCCCTGGACAGAGGTAGCCAAGGAGCGACTCACCAAGGGGCTCAAGTCCCAGTGACCGGACCCTAAACCCTAAACCCTAAACCCTAAACCCTAAACCCGCCAGCACGTGAGAGCTCCCTGCTTCTTGTGGTTCCTCCAGCGTCGTTTGGGATGTCACCCCTTATTATTCTACTGGGGTACTATAAGCCCGTTTAAGGACTGTGCGTATAACCGGGAACTTCCCCCCAGTTCCTAGAGTGTAGGGATAGGGCCCTAAACCCTACCCCTAAACCCTAAACCCTAAACCCTAAACCCTAAACCCTAAACCCTAAACCCTAAACTAGGTCTAAGGGGGGTGTTTAGGCAGGGTCCTAGCCATGGCGCCGAGCAACCGGAGCCGATCGCACAGGAGCGCGCAAAGCGGCAAAAGCCATCCTTGCCATGAAGGCTTACAGCCTTACCCTAAGGCTCCAAAAAGCCCAAAGTAGGTATTATTTACAGACTTTAAACCCCAATGTAGGTACTATTTGTATACTTGGAGCCTTAGGGTTATCCTAGGTAGGATAAGGGGGGAGCCCTTAAAGGGGAACCCCTTTCTTAACCCTCTTCTGGCTCTCTTAAACAGGGACCTTATTCAGAGGGTCTTTATCCCCAAGGGTCCCCCTAATCCTATCCCCTGCCTTCAGGACCACATGAACCCTTTTGAAGGGTTGAAGGACAGAAGGAACCCTTAAAGGGTTTATCCTGGTAGGGATTGTAGTAGTGTAGGGTGCATGGCCCCATTAAGGACCAAATGAACCCTTAAAGGGTTTATGGTTCATATACCCCGGTAGGGATGATACTTTAGTAGTGTAGGGTGTATGACCTTGATTTTAGGGTTCATGTGGTCCTTTCGGAGGGCACCCTGTGATGTGGTTGCAAGAGATGGTAGCTTGAAGGGGCATACCATACCTTGAGAGCCAAATGAACCCTAAAAGGGTTTTGGGTTTAGGGTTTAGGGTTATATATCTTAGTAGGCATTATAGTACACTATAGTGTAGGCATATGCCTTAACAGGAAGTATAGCAGCATAGGGCACAATGACCCCCCGATTTTAGGTTTCACTTGGTCACCAAGGCAACGGTGGGTTTGGCTTTGGCATTCCCTGTCTTTGACAACATCGGCCCAGACCGCTACCATTTGCTTAAGCCCCCCCCCCCCCAAAAAAAAAAACCACACACACACACACACACAAAACAAGCTTGGGAACGACTTACTACCTTACACATCTTTGAAAGGGGTCCCCAAAACCCAAGGGCACAACCCTAAGCCCCAAACCCTAGGGTCCAATCTACAACCCCTAGAGACTTGGTGCTCAGATGGAAGGGGGATTCGAACAACTGCGGCGAGTATCCTAAAACTTCCTACACTCTTTCTTTCGATCCTGCACTAGGACCGGGAGTAGGCCCTTATTTCCTGTTTTCAGGGTTGGGGGTTCTCTTATAATCCCCTCAAAACCAACAGGGGTACCCTTTTATTCCTAGGTTACTCCCGGGTCTAGCGTATGTCCCTAAGGATCCATGTACCTACATAGTATATACTTGGGGGCCCTAAAGCTGCTATATAGGAACACTTGAAGGCCCAAGTTTCTACGATATAGGTACATGGACCCTGAACCCGAAACCCTAAACCCTAAACCCTAAACCCTAAACCCTAAACCCTAAACCCTAAACCCGGATCCTTAGGGTGGGTGTACTTTCTTGTTCTGACCACGGCCCCACGAGGTGATTTTTGACTGGGTGCTTCGGCATGTGCAGCGCAAAATAAGCCCTAAACCCTAAACCCTAAACCCTAAACCCTAAACCCTAAACCCTAAACCCTAAACCCTAAACCCTAAACCCTAAACCCTAAACCCTAAACCCTAAACCCTAAACCCTAAACCCAACCTGTAAGCAACGGACCGAGGTTGCAGAAGCGTCTCGACAGCCTCATTCCCACGCTGAACCTCCTCTTGCGGCGGACACTGCTCAGAGACTCCTGCGTGCAGCAGGCACATGGTTTTTTGGGTTTAGGGTTTAGGGTTAGGGCGTGTTGGGGTTCAGGGTTTAGGGTTTACCTAGTTTACCTAGACAACTAAGAGCCTAAGAAAAGTTGGGTCGTCATGCAGCAACTTGGTTTGGAGGTGTTTCTACAACGACAACCTGGTTCTGAAATTCTGCAGCTCTCGGGCGTTAGCAATAAGCTCGTCGGAAACCCGTAAATGCCAGTCGGAAAGTTCTTCTCCCAAACCCTGGTTCTCCCAAGCGACCTACTTGTTTCCTGGGTTGACAAGGGCTAGGGCAGGGAGGGCATTCAGGCTTGGGGCTTTTAAGAGCATGCGCTGCACTCCCTCTCAAGACAGTGGGTATTTTTACAGGGTTCACATGGGCGACCTTGTCCGTTTTCAAACATCAGGGTGCCACTTTGAATAATTCCCGGCCGTTGGAAGGAGTAGGTGACTGAGCGATTTGCCTGAGGTTGTCCAAACCCTAAACCCTCAGACCCTAAACCCGAAACCCTAAACCCTCAACCCTCAAGCCTCAACCCTCAACCCTAAACCCTAAACCCCAAACCCTAAACCCTAAACCCTAAACCCTTGCCTGAGGTTGTCCAGAACACGCAGGACTTGCTCTTTGACGTGTGCAGTTTCGTCGAAGCCTGAGGGCCACGGCGCAGTGGGGCCTCAGGATGGGTTTAGGGTTTAGGGTTTAGGGTTTAGGGTTTAGGGTCTAGGGTCTAGGGTTTTGGGTTTAGGGCCTAGGGTTTAGGGTTTGCCGGCAGCCTCCAAAGTTCCGTTGCTCAAAAGGGTTTAGGGTTAGGGTTTAGGGTTTAGAGTTTGTGCCCTGTGGCCCGTGGTACTACCCCTTTTGCCCACTTATGTTGTGCACTAGGTTCCCTTGTACAGCAACCAACCCCAAAAGGGCACCCTTACTTATGATACTGTTCCTCGGCTATATACCAAGAAAGGCTTTCCCCCAACATTCACAGTCACTAGTCTGGGTCCTTGCCCTCGCTCCCTCTCCCGCAATCCTTAAGGACGAAATGCACCCTAAAGGGTTTATGGTTCATATACTTCAAGAGGGATTACAGTAGCATAGGGTATATGACCCCCAATTTTAGGGTTCATATACTTTAGTAGGGATTATAGTAGCATAGTGTAAATGACCGCAAATTCTAGGGTTCATATACTTTAGTTGGGATTATAGTAGTATGCGGTATATGACCCCCAATTAGGGTTCATGTGGCCCCCACTCCCGTGAGTGCATGCTGCGTTCAGAGGTCGAGCGCTGCTGTCCAGAGAAGCTGAGCCCTTCTCCCGCCAGAGGGCTCAGAAGTGCTTCAAGGGTTGCGGGTCTCACTGCTTTCGGGGATAGGATTTACAGGGTTTCGTGTCCGGGGTTTAGGGTCAAAAAAGTGGTTCAGGTTTACGGGGCCTTTGTCTGTCTTGGAGTGGGGGGTGGCTGGGAGGCTTGAAGTTGACAAAGGGCGGCTGACTTTAGGGTGGAACCCTAAACCCTAGGCCCTGTGGTTGTAGGTAGAATTCCGATGAGGGCACCAGAGAATTCAAGGTGCGAGGATTCTGGTGTCTTGTGGTCTACACGCCCCCCCAATTATAGCAGTGCCGCTCTGAGGGCAGTTTCATGCGCCCTGAATATGGTCCCTTTTCCTTCCTTAAAGGGTTCTGATGTGTGGGCCCCTTTTGTTGTATGTATAGAGTATAGTCGTATATAAGGGGTACCCTTCTAAGGGCCCATGTGAAGGGACCATGAAACTGCCCTAAGACACTCCCGGTTGAGCCTCAAAGCCATGAGCCGCACGTTCGACTCCCAAACCCCTGCAACCTCTTATGAGTTCCTTAGGGACCCAAAATGAAGCCTAAAGTTGGGGTCATATACCCTATACTACTATAATCCCTATCCCTACACCCTAAAAAGGGGGTTCCTTTGGTCCTTAAGGTTGTACATGCATGAACCCCCCCCCCCCCCCCCCACACACACCCAAAAGCGCATGTATCCGAAGCCGATTGAGTAAGGACTTGGTAGGAAGCACGAGTAGGCGCTACACAGCGGGTTGTGGTTGCGCTCTTTACTTTTGGAGGGCTCAAACGCCTGTCCCTTCCCGCGCTTCTCACCATAGGAGGCGCTGATGAATCATGATCCCGGGTGGCTCAGATGTCTGAGTCTACATCCAAATCAACCCACGCGCGCCTGCTGCTGTTTGTGGCCCCTAGCATGACATGACCCAGCATGACATGGGATGCAGGGCAAGCAGACGCAGCCGGACGAATTGTTGGACACCAGCATCCGGGAAAAGCTTCCTGCCATGCAAAGGTGTATCACCAAGGGCAGCGATAAGCAGGAGTACGCATACATACATACATATATATATGTATATATATATACATATACATATAGATATGTACGTACATATATACATTTTTTTGATGTTCATATTTATTTCTGAACTTATCCGTACATATGTACGCTGTTACACCAACACACCAACTACCGCACTGGTGGAGCTTGCGTGGGCCCTTGTGACTGGGGCTACGCGAGCTGCCCGGAGTCCCCATGCCGTTCCAAGGCCGACACTGCCATAAAACATGTTCGCTGTGTTATTTTTATTTTCATAATAGAAGAAGTATATTTGCATGAATGTAAATGTGTGTGTATATATACAGTACATATACATATATGTATATATATATATGTATGTTTGTGCGCATTGTGTGCGTGTGTTGACGATGCAAGTTGTGACGAGAGCTGCAAGTTGCGAGACCTTAGGCTTTATACGTCACCTGGAGCCAGTCTATGAGAAGTGGCCTAGGCTCCATGTAACAACCAGCACCACGCAAACAACTTACAACTAAAGTGATCTGGACAGCATGGGCCCAGACCCTAAAAACCCGAACACCGCGAATACCCGAATAACCCTAAACCCCAACCCCTAAACCCTCAACCCTCAACCCTAAACCCTAAACCCTAAACCCTAAACCTTAACAAGATCACAGCCCTTTAGTCCACTAGGATTTAGCCTCGGAGAGTTGCACTCGAAGACATGCGACAACTTACAGCAAAAGGACAGGGAATCGTTGTTTGGGGGATGAATCCTACGCCGTGAGCCTTGGGTTTAGGGTTTAGGGTTTAAGGTTTAGGGTTTAGGGTTTAGGGTTTAGGGTTACAAACCCTGTACCTAAGCCCTGGGGATGTGTGACTTGGGTTGTGTACGGGAGCTGAATGTCATCCGCAGGGTGCGGCTTCTCATCGGTCTCATATGGGGCACCTCCTCGCTGTAAGCTACAAAGTAGTTTAGGGTTTAGGGTTTAGTGTTCAGGGTTCAGGGTTCAGGGTTCTGGGTTATGCTAATTAGTTATACTTACACGTCCGCAGGATGGATGGCCCAATCTGGAAAGTCCTAGGCAGCAGGTCTTAGCATGCAAGGCCATGGGAAAGCATCCTACCATGGCAAGCTGTTCCAAAGCCTGCGCGGCCGCCTGGGACGATGCTGGGTCTCGGTGTGCCTGAGAGTGCTGCTGCTGCTGGGGCCCTGGCGGTACTGTTGGGCTTGCGAAGACTTGGCGGCCCTGCGGAATCTCTCCCCAAAAGACAACACTAAGTTTTTTTGTTCAGCCATCGAAGCCACGCAACGTTGCTGCCCAAGAGTTTTTTCGGAGATTCGCTGCCTAGTTGATAACTGGGTGTGTCCACCCTAAACCCTAAACCCTAAACCCTAAAGGCCCTACTATCCAGAGATGGACACGCAGCATGACGGCCTGCTGCCATTGCCCATGTGCCTGCACAAGTGTCCCACCCGCGTGCCCTTCGTTGCCGTGCCTCTGGTCCACCTCCTGCTGCTGTTGACACTTCGTGGGTTTAGGGTTTAGGGTTTAGGGTTTATTTTTGGGTACTCTAATTTACAATAAACAGCAAAAGCTTTAATTCTGTGCCAGGGTTCCAAGTTCAGTATAGGACAGATTTGGCCATGCTGCCCCTGAACCTTCTGAGGCTTTCCTGCTCTCGAGAAGACCTTTTTTCTTGGTTCTTGGTCATGTTAGGGTTTAGGGTTTAGGGTTTAGGGTTTAGGGTTTAGGGTTTAGGGTTTAGGGTTTAGGGTTTAGGGTTTTTGCCGATACAGTGGTGGAAAGTCATGATTGACAAAGAACAAAACAAGGAAGAGGAAGCTTCCTGGGCCATGGTACATCTTCCGACCGTTGCTTACCTCCTCACGCACTGTCTTGAATGAGAGCCCACGCATGAACCCCCTAGAGGCTGCAAGGCAAATGGTTCTGTCTCAGGTGGACAGCATCTGCCGGCGTGTGAAATCTTCCCGGGAAGTGGTAAAGTATGTCATGACTGCATACTACCTGCTCCTCTGCCTCCTCTACAGCATCACCTATGCATTGACGATCGCCATCGCCCTCAAACGTCTAGTGCTGCTTGTAGGGGTTCTTCGTTGCATCTTGTTCCTTGTGCTTGGCGTGCTAGTGCTATGTGATGCCGTCCCACGGGCAGTCGTCAAGGGTCTCTCCAAGCTTGTCAAAAAGCGGGCCTCCCCTTCCAGCATGACAGAAATCCGGGCCTATCACGGAACCAGCCTCGACAATCTCGAAAGCATCCGGGCCGAAGGCTTCCGTCCCTCCAACAGCGGCATGCTCGGGCGGGGCGTCTACGTCTCCCGAGACATCAACAAAGTGCTGGGCTACGGCGGCTACTTCGGCGTGATATTGGAGCTGCGGGTGACCTTGGGCCAGGTCTGCATTGTCGACCATCAGGGCCATGACAACCAATATCGTTGGCACGACTCATATGACACAGCCTGGGTACCTTGGGGACAAACTGAGCCCTAAAATTGGGGTCATATACCCTGGACTACTGCAATGCCTGTTAGGTATATGAACCCTAAACCCTTTTAGGTTTCAATTCGGTCCTCGAGGTACCTGCTCAGTGTGGCATGGTAGGCTCGGGCCTGGAAGAAGGATGCGTCGCCAGGGCAGAGAGCGTGAAGGTTGTTCGGGTGTGGCGGCGACAGCACCTACACCTCTTGGCCCTTGTGACATATGAGCTCATCAGGCTTGCCATCGACGCATGCAGGGGAGCTCCTTGGCAGCAGACCCTAAACCCTAAACCCTAAGCCCTATAAGCCCTAAACCCTAAACCCTAAGTCGGTTCCCTTTATATTCCCAAACATCAGCCTTCAGTTCCGCTACAAGACTGGACAACTCAGGCTCTCGAGTGGCTGCTGCCAGAGGCAGGAGGAGCCTCCGAGCCGGATCCCGTGCCTGGCTGGTTCTTGGTAGGGAATGAGGGAATGAGGGAATGAGGGCCATATTATATATATATATATATATACATACATTCTAAGGGATTATATAGGACCCCCAATTCCCTCATTCCCTACTAAGAACCAGCCAGGTGCCGCGGCCGCACCCCGACCTCGAGATCCTCAAGACCTGGATGCTTGGCTGCACAGTTTTCGACGTCTCGGGGAAGATGCTCAGAGTTGCGGGAAGTATGTAGAAACAATTGCAGTAACTTCTTAAACCCTAAACCCTAAACCCTAAACCCTAAACCCTAAACCCTAAACCCTAAACCCTAAACCCTAAACCCTAAACCCTTTTTGTGGTTCTTTCCGGCTTGGACTCCCGGAGGATGGCGCAAGGACCGAGCCGACCCTGCTTGCACGACGAGCGTTTCACCCACCGGACGGTGCCCCCGCCCTTGGCTCCTTGGGCGGGCTTTTGGAGGGTTTAGGGTTTAGGGTTTAGGGTTTAGGGTTTAGGGTTTAGGGTTTAGGGTTCAGGGTTTAGGGTTTAGGGTTTAGGGTTTAGGCTCCTTGCTGGCCCAGTGGCCCCCCTTTTTGCCTTTTTTGTTGGTGGTTTTTCTGTTTTGTTTTTTTGGCGGGTTTAGGGTTTAGGGTTCTTTCACGCATCAACCAACCCCAAATAAGGCTACCCTTACTGCAATATGGTTCCCGGTCTTCCAAGGCTCACAAGATCAAGCGGATTTAGGTGCTTCGGTGCGCCTGGTGTGTACAGCCGTGGGCCCATTATGCAGACGTGGGTCTTCGATCGAGAAGCCAGGGTGAGGTGAATCTGGGGTTCACGATATGAGGGGTACCTTATTGGGGGTCCTTATTATAAGGGAATCCTACTATTTGGGGGGGTCTATTTTGAGGGTCCCCTAGTATCGTAAACCCCCATATCCAGCAGTTAGGCGGACACTCAGCAGGGGAGCCACTCAACGCCGCTGCGAACAAAGAAAGGGCGATGTTCCATAGACCAGCCTTGAGGACCAAATAGAACCCTAAAATAGGTTTGGGGTTCATATACCTTAATTGGCATTTTAGTAGCATAGGGACCTTAAACCCTAAACCCTAAACCCTAACCCCGATTTTAGGGTTCATTTGGTCCCCAAGGAGGTTTGCTAATGTATTTGGCATGCAGGAGATTCCTGAGACAGGATCCAGGCTGGCCCGAACAGGCCCGAACCTAGCAAGGCCCTCGAGTTTAGGGTTTAGTGTTAGGGTTTAGGGTTTAGGGTGTAGGGTTTAGGGTTTAGGGTTTAGGGTACCCCTAAACCCTAAACCCTATAACCCCCAAAGCTTCCCAAGGCCACATCGACCAGATGAAGCCCTTTTGTATTCTTTGAGTCCCCAACCCCCTTCCTTACTTCGCCTTGAGTTGAACTTTAAACTTTTTGGGTTTCCTTATTTAGCAGGAATATGAAAGTTTAACCCTTTTTTCCCCTTGGTTATTGGAGAAGTAAGCTTCAAGAACCCCCGTCCTGCGGGCAGGGCAGAGGCGAATGGCACGCATCCTGGTGCTGGTTGCAGCCTGGCTTTGAAACCCTAAACCCTAAAACCTAAACCCTAAACCCTAAACCCCAATCTCTTGGTAGCCCAGTGGTGCCCCTTTCCCTTTGATTGGTTCAAGGTTCTCTGATAAAGAAAACCAGCCCCCAAAAAAAGCCTCCCTTGCTTTTAGTATGGTTGCCGGGCTACCAAGAATCCCTGAAACCCAGACTCTGAACCTCCAAGCTTCTACGAGATTTGGGTTTGTCTGGTGCCCCAGCCCCTTCGTAGATACCTTTTTTGTGTGCGTGGGCGTGGGGACAGAATTTTCAATTCATATGTGATACTCGCCCATACAAGCACGGACAACCGCCCTACCCCTGCCCCCCCCCCCCCCCCCCCTGCGGCGTCCATAAGTAACAGCACAACTACCCTAGGGGACCAAACGAATTCATGTCAAAAAGGGCGTCGAAGGAGCCATAATAGAGGTGGCCAGTATTATGTTTGTTTTCTTGTTTCGTCCTCTTCGTTCTGAGGCGGGGCCGAGTGTGTGCACATGAAACCCCAATGCGGCGCTAGATTAGCCAGAGCCTCGCGCTAGCAAAGTACATAAGTATATAAGAAGTCTATGTTGTATTATAGGATGCCTTGGGAGACAGATTTGTAAACACAATCCGCGCTAGCAACGCGCCAGCTGCGCGCTAGTGGTTAATTGACAGCTTGTGTTTTTGCCAGCAGATGGCCATTTGCATTGTGCAGGCAGACATTGGGCATGTTCAGGTAGCTTGTTTAGAAGTGGGGTGCAGTCACGGAGAAGCTCCTGAGCTTCAGGGTCGCAAGGGCATTGCTTCTGAAAACCGCCAAGCAACCCTACCCATACATAAAGTTTTGGTCCTTCGCCCTCCCTTGCGTTTCTCCGCAGAATCGTAGTGGAAATAGTCTGCACTAGTGGTTTTTCCTGAGGCTTCATTACATTTATGCTTTTCTCTTGCGATCAAGCTGGGTATCCGTTTTGTCTTGTCCAAGGCGGGGCCCGAGTGAACACAGATTCACGGCCCACATAGGGTTCAGGGTTCACATGGGGATTAAAGTAGTCTAGGGTACATGACCCCATCTTTGGGGTTCATTTGGTCCGCAAGTTGCACCCTAAGCCCTAAACCCTAAACCCTAAACCCTAAACCCTAAACCCTAAACCCTAAACCCTAAACCCTAAACCCTAAACCCTACAGGGTTAGCCAAAGACTGCCTCAGCAAGGCGCTGCTGATGGCCATGAGGGCGTGCCTTGGTTCACAGCTGTGATGCTCCTGGCATTCTAAAGCCCAAAACTCTAGAGGTTTAGGGTTGAGGGTTGAGGGTTTAGGGTTTAGGGTTTAGGGTTTAGGGGACCCTAAAACCCTAAACCCTAAACCCTGAACCTTACAAGCCCTTGTAGGCTTAAGGCTTTATGGGGTGTGCAGGGATGCAGAGCCCTACAATCCCTGCAAGCCCAAAGGGGGGGGGGGTGCGGTTTAGGGTGACTGTCTTGGATCATTTAAATTTAGTTTTGCCCGGGCTGGTTCCAGGTCTAGGCAAATCGTTTTTTCATCAGGGTGGTAAGCTTCGAGCCTTCTAAAAGCGAAAACGACATTCACCAGTCGCACCTGCACGCGACCTCAATCTTCCAACTACCCCAAACAATCCCAAACCCTCAAACTCGCAAACCCCCAACCTGAAACGCGCGTCTGCCAGCAAGCCCCAAACCTCAAGAGCCCACATGAAAAGCGGGAGTCATGGACAGCCCTAAACCCTAAACGCAGGGTTCATGGAGGGTTTATGAAAAACATGGTATTTATGGGGTGCCAAAGTGGGGTTTAGGGGGGAGCCTTGAGGTCTTCTCGGAAGGGACTTGGCCCCGGAACCCCCCCCAACTCCTTGAACCCTATAAACACGTCAAACCCTGAACCCTAAACCCTAAGCCCCAAACCCTAAACCCCAAGCCCTAAACCCTAAACCCTAAACCCCAAACCCTAAACCCTAAACCCCAGAGAGTCGCAACCCTAAGCAAAACACCCCTCCCTCCGAGCCATCGCTTGGCAGTCTCAGGAGTTGCCCGACCTACCTGGCACCAAGGGGCTTGGCTCAGCCCACATTTCGAGGCGGCCCTGTGTCGTTCAGGGGTTCAGGCTCGTACCCTTTTAGGTTGTACCCCTAAACCCTAAACCCTAAACCCTAAACCCTGAACCCTAAGGTTGTACCCCTAAACCCTCAACCCTAAGGTTGTACCCCTAAAGGCTCCCCTGCATTCGACACAAAAAGCGGCTAACAGGGTCCCAAAACCCAACGGTACAACCTGAAGGGTCCAAGGTACAACCCCGAGAGTGTCCGGTTTAGGGTTTAGGGTTTAGGGTTTACAGGGTGTAGGGTACCTGAGTGCGAGAGTGTACCCTTTCTACGAGAAGGGTTCACAGGAGACATAACCGCGCAAAAAAAGCTTCACGAAGCAAGTGTTTGTGAACGACCCTGACCCTCTTATGCAGCCTCCGAAAAAGATACCCCAAACTCCGATTCCCACCTCCCAAAGACCCTCAACCCTTAGAATGAAGCTCTAAGCTCTAAACCCTAAACCCAACTCTGTGTCCTGGACCCCAAACTCTCCAAAGAAAAACCCTAAACCCTAAGCCCTAAGCCCTAAGCCCTAAGCCCTAAGCCCTAAGCCCTAAGCCCTAAGCCCTAAACCCTAAACCCTAACCAGGGGCTTCCCACGTCGTCCTGCGCAGCTCACGGATTGACGCGCGCGAACTCCTGCAACTTGCAGAGGGTGCTTGGGCTCAGAGCTACGCGAGTCTTCAGCTGTAGAAGTTGAGGGTTTAGAAGGCTTCTTTGGGATTTTCGGGGTTTGTTAAAACTTAAAAAATTTCCCCAAGCCCTAAACCCTAAACCCTAAAGCCACTTTGCAGTAGGCTTGCTCTTGACATTTTCGGTGGGGGCCTTTAAAGGCCATCACAAAGGTCGGTCCCTGAGGCTGCACCCGGTTTAGGGTTTAGGTTTTAGGGTTGGGGGTTTAGGGTTTAGGCTTTAGGGTTTAGGGTTAGTTTAGGGTTTAGGGCTAGTTTAGGGTTTAGGGTTTGGACCCTCTTGCTTCACCCACAGATCAAGCCCCCTGCTAAGCCTATGGTACACCCATGTAGTTCCTTGCCTTGAAACTGGCTGGTTCTTAGTAGGGAATGAGGAAATGAGGTATCTTTATATATATATATATATGTGTTATTTATTTATATTTATACTTATATAGGTCCCTTTAAGGGGATAATGTAGGGTAGCTCTACTAAAAACCAGGGGGGACATGTGGCGTAACAGCACTTCTCTCTTTCGGGCGCCCCTGGGCTAAGTTTCTGGCCCGTGACCTGCATTTCCAGTCCACAGCGCAACTTCAACGTGCGAAGCATCGAATACCTCTAGCCCCTTAGGAACTATTTTGCATTTTGTCTATATGAAAAGCCCAAGGGTGTATGTGGAGATAGTATTCTTAATTTAGGGTTTGGGGCTTAGGGCTTAGGGCGTAGGGTTTAGGGTCCCTAAACCCGAAACCCTAAACCCTAGTCCTCAGATCAGGTGACAGGAAAGTTCAAAGACCCCCAAACGAACATACAAGGGTGTCCAGCCTCAATCAAGACAACAACCTAAAGGCCTAAATCCTCAAAGGGTTGAGGGTCTGGGGTTTCGGTTTAGGGGCCCCATACTATAGGGTTTCGACTCATCATTCAGCCCTTTGAACACAGGACCCGTACCCCTGCCCCCTACCCCCGACCCCCACCCCCTACCCCTCTACCCCTCTACCCCTCTACCCCTCTACCCCTCTACCCCTCTACCCCTCTACCCCTCTACCCCTCTACCCCTCTACCCCTCTACCCCTCTACCCCTCTACCCCTCTACCCCTCTACCCCTAAACCCTAAACCCGAAACCCTAAACCCTAAACCCTAAACCCTAAACCCTAAACCCTAAACCCTAAACCCTAAACCCTAAACCCTAAACCCTAAACCCTAAACCCTAAACCCTAAACCCTAAACCCTACCCCGACCCAGGCGCCCCCAGCCAGCGCGGCTCTGGGGCAGCGCCGGCCGCTTCTGCGCGGCGGTCGGTCACGCTAGGCGACTGCTCGGGTTTAGGGTTTAGGGTTAGGGTTTAGGGCTTAGGGTTTAGGGTTAGGGTTTAGGGTTGTGGGAAGCTTCTAAGCAAAGTTCCATGGTCCTTTACCTTCTTTAAACGATTCAGAAGTAGCCATCCTACCCTAGTTACCCTAGTTACCCTACTTGCCCAATTAGACCCTAACCCTGATTACCCTAACCCCAATTATATAACCCCAATTATACACTAGTTCTTGCTCTAAGTACCCTAACCTCTATACACCCTGACCATCCTACGTACCCTAAACCCTGGTAACCCCAATTACCCTAACTACCCCAATTCTACCCTAATTCCCCTAAGTACCCTAAATAAAGTCTATACACCCCCTACACCCTAATTGCCCTAACAACCCCAGTTTCGCTAATGACCCCAATTACCCTACTCACCCTCATGATCTGCTTGGGCAAGTAGGGTAACTAGGGTAACTAGGGTAGGATGGCTGCTTCAGAATCTTTTCAAGAAGGCAAAGGACCATGGAATGTTTCTTAGATTCTTCCCACAACCCTAAACCCTAAACCCTAAACCCTAGACCCTAGACCCTATACCCTAAACCCTCAACCCTAAACCCTAAGACAAGTACGACATCGAGGCCTGGCAGCCGCCCTGACTGCCTTGGTGGCCAGTTGCTGCGGCCCTGCGGCGAGGCATCTGGCGGGTGTTTATGGGCTTCCTAGGCTATGTGAGGGTTTAGGGTTTAGGGTTTAGGGTTTAGGGTTTCGGGTTTAGGTCACCTAGGCCCCTGCTGCCGAATTCCTTTACTTTTGGATGCCAATTGTAGCGGATGGAATTCGGTAGCAAAGAAGGGTCTCTTGAGCGGAGTTTTCATGAAGATATATAGGGAAATAACTGGCACGTGTTTATCCTGTAAACCCTAAACGCTATGAACCCTAAACCCAGGGTTCTGTAATGATGTCCTAGGATTTGGCTGATGCGTGGCTAGGCGGGCGGCAAAGAAGCTGCCAACCCTGCATTGCCTCAGCAGTCCGGGTTCTTCCCACTTCATTCAAGGAGGCCAAAACTTGACAAGGTCTCATCATGTAACGTACCCTAAACCCTAAACACTAAACCCTAAACCCTAAATTCCCAAGACATTAGCACATTAGCTCAGCCCACAAAAGCCACACCAAGGGCCGCTGCCGACCCGGAAGTGGACGTGTACTTCGGGGCCGGCAATTTCTTTAGCTCCTCCTCTCCAAGTCAGTACAGGGTTTAGGGTTTAGGGTTTAGGGTTTAGGGTTTAGGGTTTAGGGTTTAGGGTTTAGGGTTTAGGGTTTAGGGTTTAGGGTGTGAGGTTTGAGGCCTGGTTGCAAAAGGGGTTAGGGTTTTAGGCTTTTAGGCTTTTAGGGAAAGGCCTTATATGACTTGTTTAGGGTTTAGGGTTTAGGGTAGAGGTTGCTGACGTCCTGGGGATCTACTGGGATGCGGATTTCACCTATTTGCAAGCTTCAAGTTCTGCAGCCCCGCTGCCATGATCTTTGCCCAACCTGTCGCAGGGGTTTGCACAGGAGAGAACACCCCCACACACAAAAATCATCAGAAAACCTGCGCATGTGCCCCAGGCTTGGGATGCTCCCCCTTAGACTAACAGTTCCTTAATTGGGATTCTCATAGGGGGTACTATATACTTCCTACCTAGGGCCTGTTTGTAGAAGCGGGACACATCCCAACCCAAAGCCATCAAGCCGAGAGACATGCGACCAACTCACCCAAGGCATGCAGCATGAATTCGCACGGGCCTGAGACTTCATGCCAGCTGCAAGATTGCGCGGGCTTGAGTGCCCAACCCCAAAGGGTCCCATGGTACCTAAGTGGGGAATACTTGGGCCTTAAAGCCTACCTCCTATACAGGGACTTTTTTGGGCCCAAGTATAGAATGATGTGGTAAACCCTAAACCCTACACCCTACACCCTAAACCCTAAACCCATGGATTTTTTAGGGCAAAAAAGGTAGACAGTTGGAGCCATCGGGTTGCTTCAAGCAACGAGCACCAGCAAGACCCCCCTTGCAAGATCTGTGGTGGGCCCCGAAGTCTGTAAAACCCTAAACCCTAAACCCTAAACCCTAAACCCCAAACCCTAAACCCCAAACCCTAAACCCTAAACCCTAAACCCTAAACCCTAAACCCTAAACCCTAAACCTAGGGTTTGGGGTTTAGGGTTTAGGGGAACCTGTAGCACCCACAACCTGCTCTTCTTGCAGGAGATTAGTATCACATAGGGACTGGGTAGGTAACCTCTAACCTTTTTTGGTTAAATCGAACCCTACTATATACTATATACAAACGGTTAACCTGTTTTGGGCTAGGGTATTGAGCCCCTAAGATTGAAAAAGGAAAAAAAACCTTGTAGGATTCCCAGGCTACATACCAAAATATAGGGTTTTGGGGTTCTCAAGGAATGTGCCATAGTGTTCGATGCCCCTGAGGTTATGAAAGAAGCTGTGGAACTGGGTCGTCGCCGGGATGCAACCAGTCGAATGTAGGGGCGGAAATCATATTCCCTCATGGCCCCTGTATAGTCACACTAACATAGCCCCCACAAGCCCCGATTCGAGTTATTAAGGCCCCCATATTACACTGCTATCTTGCTTCCTGTGACAGCCGAGGCCTAAGCCCTCCACACCCTAAAGCAACCACTTTGGGGAACTTGGCGATGTACGCGTCACTGCCGTGTGAGCGTCGAAGCAGCCAAGCTTCCCCCCTAAACCCTTAAACCCTGAAACCCGAAACCCTTAAACCCTTTAACCCCTAATCCCTTAAACCCCTCAGCCCCTTAACCCCCACACACTACAGACCTTAACCTGAACCAGGGCCTTGGAACAGCCGAGGGGCAGAAAGCTCAAGGATGCCAAGCCCGAAGCTCCCAGCAAACATGAGGTTCGTTTCGGTATCACAGGAGGTGTGTTTGTGGGTTAGGGTTCTCCCTGAACCCTGAACGCCAGCCCTAAACCCTAAACCCTAAACCCTAAACCCTAAACCCTGAACCCTGAACCCTGAACCCTGAACCCTGATTCTTTAAACTAAACCCTAAACCCTAAACCGCTTGCACGGAAGAGGCCGGGAAGGCGACATCACATCCTTGGCCGGTTATGCCGGCGGGAAGAAGGCCAGGCAGATGCTTTGCAAAGCAGCTTCACGAGTGATTCGTGGGGTACTTATCACCCCCACCCAACCCTTCGATAGGCGAACGGATGAGAGCCCCTTCCTGACCTCAACTGTCTTTGGCCCTACACCACCCAAAGCCCCGTAGCCCTCAGCAGCAAAGACGAGGAAGGCTCGTATATACAGATATAAATATATCATTGGGATCTTCGTGGATTTTTCCCTTATATGGACTTCAAAACTAGTGTCTGCTTCAGATCCCCCTCAAAAAAGGAAAGTTAACAATCCCTAGATTGCCCTTACAAGGAGGAACAAATTGAAGGGGTTCTTAAGCAAACAGTACTTGGAGGTTCAGGGTACTTATAAGCGCAATAAAAGTGTACTTATATGCACCCCCCCCCAAGTCTTTTAAGTAGGTTAGGAGTCGACTTATCATTGGGATTACAGCCCTAAACCCTAAACCTTAGAATTGGGGTTATAAGTTATAAGTACCCAGGAACCCTCAAGGAGACAACGTTTCCAAAGGATCATGTTTTCAGAGGGGCCCTAAAACCTAAAACCTCACCCGAAACCTTAAACCCCTAAACCCCAAACCCCAAACCCTAAACCCTAAGCCCTAAACCCTAAGCCCTAAACCCCAAGCCCTAAACCTTAAAGCCGAAAGCCCTAAACCCCAGCTCCCGCGAGGCGGGGCCACTGGAGCGCGCCTTGGAGTAAGCCTTGCTTCCACATTGGGGGGGGGGGGGGGGGGTTAGGGTTTAGGGTTTAGGCTTTTATGGTGGAGAGTGTCGGGTTTAGGGTTTAATTCGGGTTCAGGGCTGATATAGGGTTTAGGTTTTTGGGATTTAGGGTTTAGGGTTGAGGGTGTAGGGTTTAGGGTCTAGGGTGGCATCTCTGGTAGCGGTTGTTGACGGCCCCAACAATCCTCAGATGAGCCGTACTTGGGCCTCATTTCATGTAGGATGTGGTTGGGAAACCAACTTCCCGATGCTTTCGGGGGGTGTGGGGACATCCCTGCGCTCCCCCCCACCCCTTCTTAAACACCCTGTGCCGTGGAATGTTCCCCCTTATGCTAGCAGTCCTTATCAGGGATCATCGTACCCCCCTGTTATAATCCCAATTAAGGACTTAGAATAAGGGGGAACATCCCAACCCTAAACCCCAAACCCTAAACCCCAAACCCCAAACCCTAAACCCCAAACCCTAAACCCTAAACCCCCAACCCTAAACCCTAAACCCTCTAAACCCTATATACCCCAAAAACCCTATAAACCTATTAACCCTATAACCCTAACCCCCCCTAAGCTCTCAGGCCTTTGCTACAGCGGCCTCCTAGGCGCTCCCGATCACGTTTCCTTGGGCCATGCCCAAGTGGTGCGACACTTGGGCGCAGGTTCCCAAAGAGCCCCAATATCCCGGTCTAGGGTTTAGGGTTTAGGGATTAGGGTTTAGGGTTTTAGGGTTTAGGGTTTAGGGTTTAGGGTTTAGGGTTTGGCGTTTAGGGTTTAGGGCATACACCAAGCCAAAGAGCCCCAATATCCCTTAGTTAGGGACTGTGGCTTTATTTTGTCATAGGGGATCCTTAAACTGATCTAAGGTATATGTATATAGGGACCCTTAAGATGATGTAAGGTATAATTACTTGGTGAAGGGGGTATTGGGCTCTTTGGGGGGGGGGGGGTTGTGGCTTCAGGACCTGTTTGGATTGGTAGCCCCACAGTTTGCATCAGATCCTGAATCATCCATCAGTTGACAGCCTCCCCCCCCGAAAGCCCTGCCCCGTCGATCATTCGTAATCAGTGGTACACACCCAAACCCCCCCGTGAAACCCGAACCCTTTCGTCTGAACCCTCGACCCCAAACCCCAAACGCGTTAGTATATCGTTCAAAAGGTCGACTCAATCAACACAAAAGTTTCCCTCCAAGAACCACAGACTCAACCCTGCCTGCGGTTCTGCCATCTATGCGGGAGCAAAACAAAACAAAACCCTAAACCCTAGCCCTAAAGTTTAGGGCCTAAACCCCAACCCTAAAACCCTCAGCCTTTCAGCCGAGGGGTGACGCTCCCCAGCCAGAAGATCCCCGCTTTCACCAGCACCTTCCTGGAACAAGTGGCTCAGCGGCCCCTTCGCTGGCAAGGGCGCTGGGATTGCAGCCTACATACCCTATGCCCACCCTAAGCCCTAAACAGAACCTTATTGGAAACATTATCTTCTTGTGATCCCTTGCGTTTTGATTTATGAAAAGATACATTCCTAAGGGGGCACTAGTAAACACTCAAAACAAATTTTCAGATGCACAATTGCAACAAAGGAGGTCGATTGGGCGGGCGGGGGGGGGGGGGGTTCAGGTTATGATGTTTGTAAAAGGTCTTGCAAAAGTTTGCGCAGGCAGGGGCGCTTCTGAAGTCCTGTCGGAGCAAGCCGTTAATGGACGTTTGGGCGCAGCTGAAAGAGAATGAAGGTTTTTGTTTATCATCCCCCTAGGCGGTCCATGTAGCTACATGGTATGTACTTGGGGCCCTAACGGGGTTCCTATAGAGTAGCGTTGGGGTTCAAGTATGTACTACATGGGCACATGGACCCTTGGGGATCACAGAGTCTTCTTTTTGAGGCAACCAGCTTTCCTACTGTTTGCTTAAGAACCCCCCCCAACAAAAAATCACAAAAAGATAACAGACATTCTTCCTCATAAGGGCAGTATAGGGATTATCATTTGATATATTTTTTTCGGTGGCCTTTGCTTCGAGAAAGGACTTCTGCGGATGCCAACAAACAAAGCACAGACAGGGAGGGGAGGGGGTTTAGGGTTTAGGGTTGGGATGTTCCCCCTTACACTATCCGTCCTGAATAGGGATTATAGGTACCCGCTATTATGATCCCCATTAGTATGAGGGGGAACATCCCAAAGTACGGACATTGCGGTTTCGTTTTTTTTGCAAAGGCTGTAGGGTATTGGGGTTTATGGGGTTTAGGGTTTAGGGTTGTTCTTGTTTGGCTATAGGGTTTATGGGATTTAGTGTTTAGGGTTGCTCTTGTTTGGCTGGTCAATGAGCCTCTCGCAGACAGCACGTGGTCTGTTTGCTCTGGTAGTTGTGCTTGACTTGTTCCAGCGAGGAGGCAGCCTGAGTCAGGAGTTCATTTCAAACTTTGCTGCCCGATGCATCTCACATGTCAGCTTGCCATCTGTGCTCGGGTTTACGAGTATTGGGCCCACTTTCTGAGGAAGAAGCGCGAGACAGGTTCGCAATATCGTGCCCCGGCCATACTTCCAGGCTCGTGTCTTGCGGTTTAACTTCGTTGTAGAGCAGGCAACCTTAAACCTTTTTTGGGGTAATCGAATCCCCTTATAATCCCAAAGGTTGACCTTGAGTTCCCCTAGCTTTGTTTGGCTTCGAGGCGCCTTTGGCTTTCGAAGGCTTGGTTGGGCTCCGGGTGCTTAGAGTTCAGGGTTTAGGGTTTAGGGTTTAGGGTTTAGGGTTTAGGGTTTAGGGTTTAGGGTTTAGGGTTTAGGGTTTAGGGATCAGCCTTCCGTGGCGGAAGCTCTACGACGCTTGAAGCATCGGGTTTGGGAGCCCAGACGTTAGGGGCTTCCGAAGCCGCCAAGCTAGCGAACAAACGCAATGTTTTGGCCTTGAATTGGGAGTTTGTGAAAGGGGTGGTTGGGCAGGATACCGCAGGAGTCCGTAATTAAGCGAAGAGAAGAAGGGCAACCGGTCTTCCCCACGCACTGTGGCACTCGAGAGTGCAACCCCTTTTGCTGCAGTATGATACCCTGTTGAAGGTGTAGGTAATATTGGAAGGTAATACTTGGGCCTTAAAGTACCTCCTATTTGGGATTTTTGGGCCCAACTATATGTCCATGAAGTACATGGACCCTTGGGGTAAGTGAGGAGGCCAGCCTCCCCTAAACCCGAAACCCTAAACCCTAAACCCTAAACCCCCAAAAGCCAGTGCAAGTCTGGGTGTTTCCGGAGCGCCTCTCAGGTGCGATGCTGGGTATACGAGGCACGAGTCAAGTGAGCATTGTTCTCTAGGGTTTAGGGTTTAGGTTTTAGGGTTCAGGGATTAGGGATTACTTGGAGGTTCATGGGTACTTAATGGTACTTATAACCACAATTATAAGTCTACTTATAACCTACTTAAAGGACTTGGGGGGCTCATATGTGCACTTATATTTGGAGCTATAAGTACGCTGAGCCTGCAAGTAGGGATGATTGGTTCCTTGTTTTGGGTTCCCCATATGATATTATAATGCGGCACCACCCTTAAACACAGACCCGAAAAGGGACCCCAGTTTACAGAATTACCCATGTGGGGCTTGTTCTGCATTGGGCTCTCCAGATATGATCTCTACTATTCGGTTTAGGGTTTAGGGTTTAGGGCCTAAAGTTTAGGGTTTAGGGTTTAGGGTTCAGGGTTCAAGGTTTGGGGTTTAGGGTGTAGAAAACTGACCACATGAGACCGTTCCGGCACCGAAAGGACCGTGTGTCGTTGTTACAGGTCTCTCGCACTTGACCCCTCAAGAACATAGCACGCACACAGAGAGACCACGAATAGAAAAAATAGATAAGCTATTTTACTTCGAACATCCCCACCCTCTCTGGGGTTGGGCACTCCAGGGACACTCTGGGGCTAGGCACTCCAGGGACACTCTGGCTTGGGCATTCTAGGGACATTCTGGGGTTAGGCACTCCAGGGAGACTCTGGGGTTGGCTACTCCAGGGAAACTTTACAGTTGGGCACTCCAGGGACACTCTGGGGTTGGGCACTCCAGGGATGACCGAGGAGTAGACCGGGCGAGGAGAAGAGTTCCGGGTGAGGAGAAGAGTTGAGGTTAGAATCTTAAATCTAGCAACCCCACGCCGAGGGTGGGGAAAGAATATGTATACATCTATATATATATATGTATGTATTTATTTACTTACCCTTTGTTATACTTATATTTATATTTTATTTGTAAAATCCGTGTGTACATTCAGGCCAGTCCGTTCCGCGTGCTTGCACAGTCACACAGCCTCGCTGAAGTTGGGGCCACGGACTCCAGTGGACGCTATTAAATAAAAGAACAATATATATATATATAGATGTGTGTGTATGTATATGTATATATGTATATATGTACATATGTATATATGTGTATATGTATATATGTATATATGTATATATGTATTTATGTATATATGTATATATGTATATATGTATATATGTATATATGTATACATGCATATATGTATATGTGTATATATGTATATATGTATACATGTTTACATGTATACATGCACACTAAACTCACAAACATTGCATTTTGCGGGTTTGAGTATGTTATTGCATACACGAATTTCATATACATACATATATATATATATATGTATATATATATATATATATTTATTTATTTATATGTATATATTTTTTCACACCACAAATTCCCTAAACCCTAAACCGCTGCAATACAACAGCAGGCGGGATGGACTCCAAGTACTTCCCCCTGATCCAGGAGGCTTGCGAAGGCAGCTTGGGGCGCTTGAGCTCTGGAGTTGTGTAGCTCATGGGCATTTCTTTGGGGCCACGTATGAAGGTAAAGTTGGGGTTTAGGGTTTAGGGTTTAGGGTTTAGGGTTTAGGGTTTAACCCTAAACCCTACTCCCTAAACCCGTGTATGCGGCCCCCAAGGTCAGGGCAGGGACGGTCAAATGAGACCAGAGGGAAGTGCCAGTGCGGAAAGTTTGGTGTGCTCTCCAACAGCCCCGAACCCTGGAAGCCAGCCACCCTAGGGTTTAGGGTTTAGGGTTTAGGGTAAACTCTGAACCCTAAAATCCCTAAACACTAAACCTGCAGCACTTTGAGTTTCGACAGTCGTATCAGGAATCCCTGCGGAGTGGTGCGTCCAGCTCTGCGGGCGCCAAAAAACTTAGTAGCTGAGTCAATACAGTGTACACTTTCTGGGATACCAGAATCCCCGATCGAACTGAAAGTGTACACTTTTTGAAGGCTCATGAACTCAGCAACTAAGAAATCAACCCTCAACCCTAAACCGTCTGCTTGGAACGCGGAAGTCTGCCATGCGACTGTTTATGCCTTGCATCCTTAGGTGCTGAGTGAGCACACTTTACACGTTTTGGGATACGATAATCCCACACTTTTTTGGGGGGGACCATGAGCTCAGCAACTAGCATCATGCCCTGCGGTTCCGGTCCAAGGCAAAGTGCAACTTGTCAAAGGCTGCCTGGCCGCATGCGAGAAGCAATGTCCCTCAGATCCCGTGCGCGTCGATGATGTAAGGGAAGTTATATGGGCCCTTGATCTGGTCCCTTGCCTCTTCAAAGGGTTCTGAAGTTTTGGGCTTTCTTGGGTTGTATCCGGTATGCAACTACCCAAGAGATGATGTGGCTAGGGTGGAGAGGGTTTGGGTCGTTGCCAAACTGTCCGCATGCAGAGTGATGACCTGAAGCTGGACATGGTCGAAACTGCAGGGCCGAGCAGCTACTTCTATTTGCTTCAGAACCCCAAAAGAATAAAACATAATCATCCCTATATTTCTCTGAATAAGGAAGAATGTTTTTTCGGGGTTCTTAAGCAATTAGAAGGCTAGCCCTGAAAACAAGGCCTCAGAAACCGCTGTTTAGCAGGCCCTCACACGAACACTGTGTGCGGCTGCAGGTGAGGGAAACGAGCCAGACAACTTCGAGCAGGGCACCGTTTACGTGCACCTTGGTTGCCAGCTAGCTGGTGTCACTGAGGGTGTTCAGGGCTTACAAGGTTTAAGGTGGAGAGCTGGCAGCTCCATATCCAACTGCACATGCTTTTGCATGGCGCTTAAGACGCACGCGGCTGCTCCAAATCCTGCGTAGCTTAATCCCTTCCCCCCCCCTTCCCCCCCAAACAAAGGTATGCCCCCCGCTTCTTCAATAACATATTGAGTTCTCCCCGAGCCGCCTGAAGCCATTGCATGCTCCAGAGTGTGGGGGGGGGGGGGGGGGGTTGTGCATGGGTGGGGGTCTATACACCGAGCTTTAGTTAGTATCTTGGGGTGGGGGGGGGGGGGGTTAGTAGCGATTCATAGTATAACGCATGCAAACGAGCAGTTCCTACTGGGGTCCTGGTGAGAAGGAAATCCTACTATTTGGGGGGGTCTGGGTTAGGGGTCCCTTTCTTATCGTAAATCCCCCCAAAATGGCGCAGGTACGATGCACGGAAGTTCCCCTGGAGGCTTGCACTGCGAATGCCATCTCCTCATTGCAGTGGTTTTCCGGGTGGTCGTTGCCGCGGCCGTCGAAGCTCTTGCTTTTTGAAGAATATGTTACGTTATTTGAATCAGAGACCCTAAACCCTAAACCCTAAACCCTAGAGTATGCAGAGCACGAAGGATGCTCACAGCGACAAAAAACGACGAGTACTGTAAAAGTCATATCCAGCAAAAGCCTTGGCCTTGCAAAAAACGATGAAAGATTGGGAGGTTCTCCCTTATTACTAACAGTTCCTTCATAGGGATTAGAGTACCCCTGAAGATTGGGATGTTCTCCCATATACTAACAGCTCCTTCATAGGGATTAGAGTACCCCCCTGTTTCAATCCCTATTATGGGCTTTTAGCATAAAGGGGGAACATCCCAAGATTAATATGCTTTTTGTCACATGGCTTGTTTTATTTGTTGGGATCCTTTATAGTGCCTTGATCGCTCAAGCACCTCGAGCGCCCCTGACCACGAAGGGTAGCGCGCTTTAGGGTTTAGGGTTTAGGGTTTCATGCGCGTGGCTTGCAGAAGGGTTGTCCTGGGACTCTTTTCCGGAAGACGCGTAGCCTGCCTTCTGCGAATGAAGAAAGATGGTGTGCTTCGGGCCAACAGTCAAGGTCTCAAGCAAGTTTAAGGGGTTTTGGGCTTTAGGGTTTAGGGTTTAGGGGTGTAGGAGCAAACACGCAGCTAAGCTAGTGCGCGGCTGGCACGCCGCGATAGCCCGGATAGCCCGACACTTTGCCACAGAGCACCCGAAGTCACCATCCCTGGGGATGAACTGAACCCTACTTGGGGTTCATAAGGGCCTAGGGCGCTCTGTTTAGGGTTTAGGGTTTAGGGTTGAGGGTTTAGGGTTTAGGGTTGCAAGGTGGGGGTGCCCCAAAAGTCTCTGCTTCTCCTAGAGTCTTCGAGTGTAACCTCTAACTCCTTCGTTGGCATTTTGCACTGCAGGTGGCAAAAAAAAAACGCACCTCCACACGGCCGTATGCATGCCCAGATCCCTGCAATTTTTTTGGCGCAGGCCTGCAGAAAGCAGCAACCAGTTCCGCCGCGCGGCGCAAGACATGGGTTATGGGTTTTGAGGTTCAGGGATTGATTGGGTTTAGGGTTTGGGGTTTAGGTTTTGGGGTTTGTTCTGGGTTCAGGGAAGGTGTTTAATTAGGGTTTTAGGTTTAAAGGGTTTCAGTGATTAGTAGGGCTTATCAAAGAGGATTCCGGATTCAGGGATTCAGGGTGGTTTGCTCAGTCGTACGTAAAGCTCACAGGCTGTTCTCTGATTTGCAGCTCTTTTCGGGCTTGCCGGATCCAGAAGGTGCGAGCTGGAAAAAAAGCCGACCTGCAATTGTCTGAGGCGATGATCCGCCGACGTACTACGATCGAGACTACAAGGCCCGCACTTAGAGCGCGGGGGGGAGGGGGGGGTCCGTTGTCAGGAGAGTCAGGAGAGAAGACCTGGCTACTCGGAGTCCGGCTTGCATGTATCCGTATCTAGCATGAATGAATCTTGTAAAGGTCTCACCCTAAGCCCTCAACCCAAAGCCCTTACATCCTCTCCCTAAACCCTAAACCCTAAACCCTAAACCCTAAACCCTAAACCCTAAACCCTAAACCCTAAACCCTTGAACAGACCTTTTCGTGCACTTGGCGCGCTCATCAACACTCGCACAGGAGATCTTCGAACGGCAGAAGAAGTTGGGGCCACTTCGCTGCTAATGTGAGATGGCTTTGGTGCTTGAACATGGCTGCATTGGCTAGGGTGTAGCATCATGAACAGGGCTGCTTTCATTCCCTAAGGGCCTAAGGGTCCATGTACCTAAAGAGAGACTACTTAGGCCTTAAATCACCTCCTATTTGTAAATTAGGGACTTTGGGGCCCACGCATAGAATGATGAGGTACATGGACCTTTAGGGATTTCAGGTGTTTGAACGATGTACGTTGTGTTCTCTTCTGTTGAAGCCGCCGCTGTGGTGAAGCTGTAGCCCACACCATGCCGACACCCAGGATTATTCTTCGAACCGGCTGCCCGAATGAGTGAGCAATTTGCAGTACGTAGAGAACCCTAAGGCCTAAACCCTATAAACCCTAAACCCTAAACCCAAGAACCAGGCAAGGCTACAAGAAGCGGACTCGCCCGAACAACCTCACTCAAATTCTCGTTGTTCTAGCCCTAAACCCTAAACCCTAAACCCTAAACACCCTAGTTTCGCTCCAGTCACAGGCCCTTGGCCAGCCGTTTACCTCTGACTGCACTCCATGACCCTAAACCATCCTAAGCCCTGAACGCTCAACCCTACCACCCCAGTGCAATCCTACACCATAAGCTCTCAGACCTACAACCCTAGTAGAACTGCTATGTCGCGATAGGATCAAGGACAAGGTGCCGTGATCCTAGCGACTTGGATTTTCCTGCCAATCGCCAAAACCTCCGTCAGGTGTAGGGCTTTGGGGCTTACGGTTTTTAGGGTTTAGGTTTATGGGTTTTGGGTTGTTCTGCGCTTCTTGTTTAGGGATTCGGGTAAGTTTTTCTTTGTGGCTTCGAGGTGAGGGCTCATGGCAGATTGTGGGGCGCCCCCGCTTCTGAAAGCGTACGTGCCTGCGAAGTTTTGCCGTTTCACTGGCCGTTCACCCCCCCCCCCCCCCGCCCTGGACAGCCCATTCCCTACAGCCTGCACTGCTTACATCCGGAGCATCAACTATCATCTGCTTTAGAAGCCTCAAAAATGAAGAATAATGATCCCTATATTGCCCGAATAAGGAAGTGTATTTGTATTTGCTGGGTGGTTCTTGGGCAAATAGTAGGTAAGTCGCAGCCCCTTAATCTCACTATTGGTTAGTAGGGAAGGGGGGGAATAGGGTACCACATATAATCCCTTTTGAGGGTATATAGGGGATACATGGTACCTCATTCCCCCTTTCCCTACTAACCAACAGTAAGTTAATCGTGGAGGCTCTCACGCCTATTGGAGGTTGTTATCAGAGCGCCCAAGCCCTGCCACGCTTGCGGCAAGCCCTGAGCCCACGGTCATTTCCCATTAGGTTTTAGGGTTTAGGGTTAGGGTTTTAGGGTTTCAAGTTCATGCAACGGCCCCCCGTGGGGAGCCAACAGTTTTCCGTGTAGCTGGTGGCTTCATGCGTTGCATGGGGCTTCCAAGGCAGAGACCGCAGCTGCATCGCGCGCGAAGTGTGGACAGCTGCCCACATGCTTCCTTTCCCCTAAGGATCCATGTGCCTATATAGCATATGCTTGGGCCCTAAACGCTACTATATATATATATATATATAGGAACCCCTGCCATTTTGGCTCAAGACACTGGCTTAGACGTGCCCCCGGGGTTGGTCAAAAACCGGCAATGCCGCGAGCCGGCTTCGGCGGTGACGATGGCGCAATCGAAGTGGATGCCATGCAGGCCAGAAGGGATAGAGGAGCCATTGTCATTGTGACCATGTGCTGCGGGCTCGCTACTGTACCCTGAAGCTCCGTTTGGGGATGGAGGCTTGTCCCCGGGCCATGCCAAGACAACAGGCTTTGATGCATACCAGGGTGGGCTATTGCATGGCTTTTTAGAGAATGAAGTTCCCTTTGCATTTTCTTGGCCAGTCGACTAGTATTTGCACCAAGGGGACCAAGGGTGTAAACATTGTGTACATGCCGGCCGGCGCGCGTGCACACGCCGGCCTCTTCCCCTGCACACACAAAGACTACGTGCACACGCCGTCCTGTACGCGGCCGCCTCCCCTCCCCCCCACACATACAGTGGATTCGTGCACACGCCGTCCTGCACGTATGCACACGGCGGCCTCCTCAACATACACTGTTTTTTTTCTCCCTGCACACGCCGTCCTGCACGCATTGCATGTCTACCCCGCGCGCGCACTTGCCCCCTTTGTCCCTGCATAAGCTCGAGACATGTTTGGCCTCCTGAGCTCTAAAGCTTCAGGGCCGGGGCTGTGATCGGAGGGAAGGGCCTCTAAGTGCAGCACACACAACGAAATCTGGCGCGGGACCCTTCTTTGCATCGGATTTCTTAATCGTTTCATTGAGTTGATGGTTCTGTTTTTTTGAGTGCAGCACTGCTCCCCGGCTACCCGGCCGAACGTTGCGCTCAACAACAGTAGCCTTCAGGAACCATTGACAAAGGGGGTTGAAAGCTTGATGGCAGCAATGGCAGGCTGTCTCTCTGCAATTCAAGCTGCAATGAGGATCAGCGAGGCGTCAACAACGGAGGATAATATAGAGCAATGCCCTTTGAGGATTGCGCGTGGATCACCTGGACTTACAGGGTGCGTGGATGTATCGGGTTCTACTGTTCTCTTTCAGCCCATGTTCGCATCCCAGACATCTTTTGTGAGTGCCATGAAAGAGCTTGGCCTTCATGCAGTTGGTCTTCCAGGGGCACGCTTACGACATGATTTTGTTTTGCCTTCCTCATTTGGTTGTTTTATGATATCCAAAGGAGGGCCATCGTAAGCAAGTGTCTCTGTCCTAATCCTGTCAAAGTTTCGTAACTGTTTTGAATTGGTTTCCGACATTGGCAGTGCCCGCCGACTTTGGCTAGAGCTAAAGTCTGCGGGAGACAGGAAACTGTTTTGGTTGGTTTTTTATTTACCTCCAGCTCCAGAAAGCGGGCCTGACGACATCTGGCATGACGAAGTCTCCGCTATCCAGGCAGATTTAGCATTTTTGGCGGACAAATACCCAAGCACACCTGGTTTGCTTTCATGCAAACACCCAACCGGAAGCTTTGGGACATGGAGTAGACAGAAAGCCACAGCGAGATGCACACCTCCGAGAATCATGGCTTCAATTTGGGCTTACGCTTTGTAACCCTCGTTTTACGCAAGGCCCTGTTCATCAAATCTTCCTGCCTATACGCAAGAAGCTGGTGTCAATTCAGCCAGCGCACACGCACCATTCGCATCTTGGCGGGTCCAGAGCTTTAGATTTGATTCTTGCTTCCGCATCATTGGTTGTTGACGTGCGCATACACAATTCTTTGCATTGCAGAGAACTGGGATGTTCATGGGACATTTGTCACGAATTCACGGCCGGAGATCATTTTCTAATTGATCTCCAGTTGCCACATGTCAGTCTGCTGCCCAGCTCCTCTGGTAGCATTACACCGCCGTCTGGGTGGGATGATCAAGAGCGATGGTTCCAGCGCCTCAAAGAAGCAAATGAGGTTTTCCAGTGCTTCAATGATGTCCTCGAGCCCTTGTGTGGATGCATTGAAGAGATGGAAGCTAGGCAGAAACCAAGCAGGCCACTGGCGCAGTGGCTTGCTAATGCAACGGCCTGCATCTTAGCAACTATTGAAGGTTTAGTCAGAGATGGGTGGGTTCTGGCTGCACAAATCCCAGTATCAAAGCGGAGGAGGTTATCTGCTAAACCCAGGAAACATGCAGCGCCAGGAACTGACCAACTGGAGACCTGGCTTGCCGACACTTTGAAAGATTGCGCCCCCCAACCCGTTGCGAATAGGTGTTTAAGATGGCTTAAGCCGGTTTTACCATATCCACCCTTGCAATTCATTGACAGATCATCTGGCAAAGCTCTTTCAGCAGCAGACAGTCACCAGCAGTGGCTCTCAGCGATACGGGAACAGTTTGTGATACCAGCGGGTTGGGATAATAAATTTCATCAGCAAGTGGAGCGTAAAGCGGCTGGAATCTTGGGCATGGAGAGACGTGCTGTAGGGGCTGATGCTGCAGATGCCCCTGTTTCTCAGGTTGATTGGATACAAGGAACAAGCTTTTGGAGTTCATCTTCTGCTGCTACACCTGATCTCCTCCCTAGATGCGTTTTCGAGCTCGCAGGGGTGATGTGGACTTCCTCTGCTTGGTTATGTATGAGGTTGTGTGGACCAGGCTGCTTGGCAATTCGACCAGAAGTGTGGCGGTGGAAGAGGCTGACTGCATTATATAAGAAGGGGAGCTCTGATTCAGCGCACAGTTACCGCTTCATCTCGGTGATGCAGCAGCATGGCCTTTTACAAGAACACATATTGTTTTCAAGTGTCCAAGACCGAATGCAGGGAGCAATTTCTTGTTTTCAATCTGGCTTTATGAGAGATGTTGCTGATCCACATCTCTGCTCTATGAACTTGGCAGCTCTTTTTGGCGTAGGAAACAGCCTCTTCTCCTCTTCATGGCCGATCTTGTGAAGGCATTTCCACGTACATGGAGAGCTTACTTGGTGAATGCAATCCATGATGCAGCAGGAATTCGTGGCGGGGCTATGTCCTTATTTCACTCCATTCTCTTTTCAGATGAATGGCTGGTTCCTCTCAGTGGGCTCTCTTGGGAAAAAATTTCTCACGGGGTTCCGGAAGGCTGTAGGATTGGCGCCCCATGTTTCAATTTTCTTCCTGACTCTTTGGTTTCCATGTTGCTTGAAGAAAAC